GTTTCTCTTACTTCCAAGTATCCCTTTCCTTACTCCCTTCACTCTTAACGTCACTTGAATATTCTGCTCTGTATTATAGCTAATTGTGTATACCTATCTCCCCAACTAGATTAGGTAATACCCTTAAGGCAGAAACCAATCTTATTTATCTTTAAATCTCAAGAGACTGGTATAATGTATTACAACAGATGCTCAAATATGCATTATCAATTCAACAGAGGACAGGCAAAGCTTTGAGAGGCATGAATAGATGCAAGCAGATGTAGCTTTACGTGTAAAAGCATGCAGGTAGGGACAAGAATGGCTACTTTTTGTGTTGGTAAAGCCTGACTGGAGCAGATGTTGCATTAATGCAGGGCTTGGGAGAGACCTGAGACCCATGGCAATGGTGTGGCACTGCCTTACTGGAGTGTGTGCCTTTTAAGAGTAACATGCAAAAGGGAAGGAGTAATTCAAGCCACTAACCACAGATTCTTTAGGTTTCTTTACTTTCAAAACAGCAATTAATTTACATTCAGGCTTCCCCCCAACCCCAGTTCCTTAGAGAATTAACCGGGTTATACCATGCATGTACAACAATTAAAAACTAACCCTTGGCAGGTCCTTGCTTGATCACTTTCTAACAGTAGCTCATATATTGAAAGCAAACATATACGCCAAGGTAACTGAATCTTCCTGTTTGTTGAGGCGACCTGGAGACTGATCCTAGAAATATATGCCTGGGCCTCGACTCTTTCAGTAAGCTCTGCTCAGCAGATCGGACCCAATCCCCAGATAGATGCTTGTGTGTCTGCCCTTATGTACTTTGAAAAGAAGTCTGGACACTAGCTGCGGGAAGACAGCAAGAGTGGAAGGATCAATGAAATGCATACTCTTTATTTCTACATCTCAGTGAGAAACTCGATAAATCCTGACATCAAATACTCTAAGGTTGATTAAAAAGTACCTACCATACTCAGCCATAAAAAGAAACGAAATTGAGTTATTTGTAGTGAGGTGGATGGAACTAAAGTCTGTCATACAGAGTGAAGTAAATCAGAAAGAGAAAAACAAATACCAAATACCGTATGCTAACACATATATATGGAATCTTAAAAAAAAACCAACAATGGTTCTGAAGAACCTAGGGGCAGGACAGGAGTAAAGACGCAGATGTAGATAATGGACTTGAGGACACGGGGAGGGGGAAGGGTAAGCTGGGACAAAGTGAGAGAGTGGCAGGGACTTTATTTTATACTACCAAATGTAAAATAGATAGCTAGTGGGAAGCAGCCGCATAGCACAGGGAGATCAGCTGGGTGCTTTGTGACCAGCTAGAGCGGTGGGATAGGGAGGGTGGGAGGGAGACCACGAGGGAGGAGATATGGGGATGTATGTATACGTATAGCTGATTCACTTTGTTATAAAGCAGAAACTAACACACCATTGTAAAGCAATTATACTCCAATAAAGATATTAAAAAAAAAGTACCTACCATATGCCTATAAAACATGAAAAACATCTTAATATCTCTACCAGCACGTCCATCAGGAACTTCATATTTAGCATGTTGGTAATAAAATATTAAAAAGTGTTCTCTCCCCTCTCTACCTTAAACCTGTGCCTGCTTCTAATATCTCTAAAACGTTCATGGTGTCCCAACACAAAATCCAAGTAGAAATGGAAAGGAATAGGTTAACTTCCTTTGCAGTTGCAAAAGAAGATCCAAACAGAGCTATCTACAAGTTTTGCAATAAAGATTTTCATTGTTTCCACCTCACTTTCTTATTCCTTAACATTTATAAATCTGACTTCCATTGTAGCCACTTTAACGAAACTTCTCCTTTTACTGAAGTTCTGTGGTTCTTACTGGGGCTCTATTCGTGGTCCTTTCTTCATTTCACTCATTACTGCTATGTCATCCTTTTCTCTGATTTCAATCACCACAGATACACCAACAATTCCCAAATCTGTACTAAAGAGATCAGGTTTCTCTCTCTTGAGTTCAAAACTCAAATGATCAACTATCTTTGATACCAACTATCTCTTTGTCAGATTTAACATGTTGGTAGTAAGGAATTTTTTAAAAGTGTCCTCTCTTTTCTCTCCACCTTAAACCTATTTCTTCTGTATGCCTAAAATGTTCATGGCATTTGTGAAGGTTTAAAAATATGTTCACTACATCTTTTTATACTCCTCCCTTCACGAGGTGAAGCCTGAGTGTGGACTTAGTGACTTACTTCTAACAAGAAGAATATGGCATAAGTGACAGTATTTGACTTCCAGGACTAGGCCTTAAAAGACACTGTGGCTTCCTCCTTGCTCTGTCTTGGATTGCTCTCTCTGGGGTAAGCAGCTGCTACGTCAAGAGGACACTCAGGCAGACCTATAGAGAGGTACATGTGGTGAGCATGCGGCTTCCTGCTAACAGCCAACAAGAGACTGAGAACTTCCACTGCTACCACAAGACAGCCTCCTTGGAAGCAGATGCTCCAGCCCCACGCAAGCCTTCAGACAGCTGCAGCCCCAGCCAACAGCTTGACTGCAACTTTATGAGGCCTTGAGCCAGAGGCACCCAGGTAAGCTGCACCTGGACTCCTGACCCACAGAAACTCTGATAATAATTATTTGTAGTTTTAACTAGTAAGTTTGGGGGTAACTTGTTATGAGGCAATAATGGCACACCCAGACCCAGAATCCAAGGAATACAAGTGGTGAATGGTAACGACCATTTTAAGTGAGCTCTCTCCCGACTCTGATCACACTCCTCCTCGTACTTTCTCAGTAAGTAACACTGTTATTTACCCAGTATCCCATATGAGGAACCTGGAAGTCATATTTGACTCTCCCTACCAACTATACCACCAAGTTATCATTTTTTTTCTTCCATCACTTGAGCCCATCCCTACTTTTTTTGTTTTTGTTTTTGCCGCACCACACGGCATGTGGGATCTTAGTTCCCTGACCAGGGATTGAACCCGTGCCCCCTGCAGTGGAAGCACCGAGTCTTAACCACTGGACTGCCAGGGAAGTTCCCCATCCCTACTCTTACTGCTTTAGTTCAGGGCCTTTACCATTTTTCAATTTTGATAACATACATTTGCAACTTTTCTCCTTCCCTATAGTCTTTCCCAGCTGCATTCCATTCTCTAGATTAATGCCAATAAGAACTTTTTGAAGAATATATCTGATCATGTTATTTATTTTTATTAAAAAATCACTACTGGTTCCCACATTGCACAGGACAAAATTCAAATGTCATAGCATGGCACGTCTGTCATGTCCTATAGCTTTTTCTCTCATCTCCACGTTCACAGCCTACAATCTGGCCATCTTCCACCTTTGCCTATGCTGCTTTCTTTCTGTGTGGAAAATCTTTCATTCTTTCCTTATAACTCTTACTATTTTTTAAAAGACTCAGCTCAAGGTTTATCTTAGAACCTTCCTTAATTATCAGGTCCAGATTAGATGACTTTCTTATATTACTTTATCAGGGCACTTATCACATAGATCAGCATGTGTCTTCCACTAGAATGTTAGCTCCTGAGGAAAAAAAAATCTATCCTCGATACCTAGACATTCATTTATTCATACATTCAACTTATATCTACTGAGCAACTACAACAGACACTGTATCAGGTGTTTGTTACATACTAGTGAACAAAGCAAATATGTCCTACCCTGGCATAGCTTGTAGTCTATTCAAGAAGAAAGACAGTAAGTTAAATAAACAAACATTGTGATATATGAAAAAAGAATCTTATCAGAGAGTAAACATGAGGACCTATTTTAGGTTGTGTGGCATACAGTACAGATGCACTCATACATTTACTGAATGAAATGTTTATACCTTCACCTCAGAGATATAAGTGGGTCAGGCTCATCACATCCTTGCCAACACTGAGTCTGTTTTTTTTTTTAAATCTTTGCTCATACTGTCAATGTCACTTTCTTGCTTATACATTCTCAGTACTAAAAATCAAGAAAAAGAACACAAGACAAGATCAAATATACATTAGAAAAAAGAGGCTTGATAAAGCACAAGTGGAAAACAAAGTCTAGCTTTATATATATTATCACGGTTACTCAGATAGATGGCTAAGATAATTTCAAAATAACCACCTGTAAGATCACACATTTTACTAAGTAAAAAGTATACTAAAAAAATGAAAGCCAACTCTTTCTGGTATTCAGAAGTCTGAAGCAATCATTGTTTAGTTTTTTTTAAAGAGTAAATTCCAAGGGAATCCCTGCCTCTCCCTTGGTTCACTGCCAAATAACTCACAGCTGGAATATTTCTGGGAAATATGGGTATGTGACAAAGTTAAAAAAAGATCAAGACCACTGAAAACCAAGCTCAATATTTTAAAATGGGAATGGCAGGATGAGGAAACTATATATTAAAATGCATAAAACGATTTTACTAGTAATTGCTCATTAATTAAAAAAAATGTTATAACCAACCAAAAAAATCAAAACTTGGTAGTAAATAAAATACTTAACTGCTATTTATAACAGGTGAGAAGGTTTCTAGGACTAGTTTCTTATATTAATATAAAATGCATAAAAAATTCCAAAAACACAGCAAATATTGCCCTAGATTACAAAGCTTGTATTTTACAAAAGATGCACATATTTAGTGCACATTAAAGAAGAGGAATACAAAAGTTAAATCAGTACATCCCTTCTTAAGTACATCCCTTCTTATTACTGGCTATAATAACATCAAGTGATCATGCCCTTTTCCAAATTCATCTCCATGGTCCTGAAAAATTTAAATGAATCAGTGTAGATGAAGAAAAATACCTTCCGTTTTACCGCACATTAGCCTTGTTGGTTGAAATATGAGATTTTTCTGGAAACTATGCTCAGCTCTTTGCTTTTAGTAGCCTATTTCAACACGTTAGCCAGGATTTGTGCCAAGAGATAGAGGCATTCGTCACCGAACCTGTTACACCACAAGAGTTTCTTCTTTTTAAACTGATGACTGCCCAACAAAAAACTGTTAACTTACTTGTGAATTTTCAGAGGCAGAGAGTTTTTTATTTTTTATTTTCCTTTTTGGCTTCTGCAATGGAATTTCACCAAGTTTTTAAAGATATTAACTTCTTTAACCTGCAACAATCATCATTTTCAAGTAGTATATAAAAACTGTCAAATGGGCCAGAAATAAGGTTTATGTAGTTCAAAATTATCTCTGATAGTGGTAAGATTTAACCTTTTGAGCCAACCTCAACAGACCGGCAATACAACTCAAATTATTAACATAATACATAATGATAAATATTGCTCCCGAAAAAAAGCAAATTATTTTCCTACTTAAAATTTTTTGCAAAAGGTCTACTATAAAAATATTTTCTTCTCTCTTTATTTCCCTGCCACGATAATGTTAAACCATATCTGGAGCCTCCTCAAACATCAGGTGTTAAGAGCACAACATTCCATTTTAGTTGAATCACTGCTTCACATAGTCAATGTGTATTTTCAAGGCACTATAAAAACTCTCAAGAACAGTAAAAGAAAAACATTCCTCTTGCCTACAGATCTTTCAGGTATATTTCCCCTCAAACTTTTCTAAATTGAATGTTGTGATAACTGGTTTTTCTTCATTTTCCATGGTACAGTCCTTAAGTTATTTTTCTTTTACTTGGAGCCACTCCTTCATTTTCAACTTGCTGAGCAGGCAGACTTTTGGTTTCCATGGAAACTGAATTCCTGCGGCTGCGGGTAGGCATTCTTGTTCCACCAACCTAAGAGATGAAGCAAAGAACAGGATGGCTTAACATGTTTACAACATTCTTAAACACAGTCAACTCTATTATTTACACATGGACTAATTTCTTTGCGAATGGTCCTTTATATATTTTTAATCCCTAGCCACTTAACTGCTTCTAAGCAAGCTTTAATCTGACAGAGTTTTAAAGTATGAAACTTTCAAATAACAATCAGGGAAGGAGATACATCAGGGTAAATGGAGAGAAGTGAAGAGGAAAACCGCACTTTGTGCTAAATTTGGGAAAGTTTGAAATGCTAAATGAGAAAATGAAGGAATGACAGGCCTTCAGAGCAATGTGCTTACCATAATGAAACTGAAGGGCAGGAGAAATGAATAATAGGAAGGGAGGGAAAGGAAATGCAAGAAGGTCAGAGGTGGTAAAGAGAGAGAAGAAATTATGAAATGGAGAAAAGAGACAGTAAGAAAAACAGAAGAGTCCAAAAAAGAAGGATAAAAAGAATAAAAGTGAAGCGAAGGGAAAAGAAAAAAGACCCCAATTTGAGTTGAGAGGCTGGAAGAGCAAGAAAGAAAGAAAGAAAAGGGGGAAGGAAAAATTGGAAGGCGATTACAGAGGATGGGAAAAGAGGAAGAAGGGAAGCAGGGAAAGAAGCTTTGCTGGGGAGCCGGTTCTACCTTAGTATCTACTCTTCCTCAGCACAAGTCGCTACTCACTCCCACTTTCTAGCTCACACAGTCTAGGGAAGAGAGAGTGTATTCTTAGGATGCACTCCCTTGCTAATTGCAGTCCCACTGAAGATGAGGTCTGGAAATACTGTCATCCCCTTGGCCACTGGAAGAGTATAAAATTTTAAAATGGGGTAATGGAGAAAGCCAGGCATTACAGAGAAGGACAAAAGCTGTACAGCCTGAAACCGTTTTCCCAGAACTTGTCCGTATCTACCTCTATTTTCTTTAGTGACCTTGCAACCCCTTCTATTTCTTCACATCTTCTCCAGTGTGTTTCAGACCTGGAAATGATTGCCATTCCAATCACACTCTCTCATATTCCTTATACAACAGAAATATTACTAGCATTGCCCCAAGAGGCTACTGGCTCACTAAGAATGACTCAAACTCCAGCTACCCTCACCTAATATCTTGTCTCTTTAGGGGCACGTTTTGGTTTACAATTAGATGGCTAGAAAAGACAAACTTGAGTTAGGGTTTGAGTCTGCCAGTCTGTCTATCTGAATCTGAAGAACTTTTTTAACATACAGATTTAAAAAATTGCTGTGATTTTTAGATTATGTATACCACTCCCCACTCAACTGGTATTTACTATAAAAGTATACTGACCACACTAATTGTATCTACCATATTGCAAGCATTTTGACCCTATATGTGTATGTGTGTATGCGCATGGGCACGCGCGCGTGTGTGTGTGTGTGTGTGTGAGATCCATATTTATAGCAGAAGTTGCGGAAGGAGAAAAGGGATAGGCACAGAGCCATTACAAAAAGACTAGAATCAGAAGTCCGGAGTAGCACAGGAAACAAATGGGATCCTCCTATTAAGCTCTGCTTGATGCAAAAAGAGGCAGACACAGGCTCTACTGGGGTATCTCTCAGGATTAGTGCTTAAGGTACTACTACACAAAGGTGACATCTGAGTTCAAGTGGACTAGGGACTAAGGAATCGTATTAGAGGCAGAGATATCTGTCATATGAGTTTTTACATCATGAAATAAGTAGATCATTTCTGTTCCATATAAGATCTTACGTCCCAGGGTTTCCTGAAGCTCTTGTCTTTTCCTTTGCTGCTAAAGCTGGAATCCCCTGTCTGTGCTTATTAGCTTGGTAGGATTAGAAAGTCTCATTCCCATGGCCTCGCTAGATGGAAGTAAGGGAGAAAGATGGGGTAATTCCTACATATGTAGGACCAGATTGTATAGTTAAATGTTACAGGTGAAACTATCATCACATTCTTCTAAGTTAAAACAAAATCCTTCTCTTAGAAATAACATCAACTCTTCAAAAAAAGTTTTCAATTATTTTTAAGTTAAGAAAATGTTGCCTCAGGAGGTTATAAAAATCACTACTTATATTAAACTGGAAATAGCCAACAAAACCTGTAGCTAAAATACTAATAACTCACTTTCTCCATTCTTTCACTTGTCCCAACTAGTTAACCACATTTATATATTTTCTTGGCGAAAGTCAACTAAGAATGTATAAGAAGTTGTCATTTCTAAAATGATCCTCTCAGTAATAACATTAGAATGGAGAAGTGAAAAACATACACGTGATAGATGTTCTGTGGTAAACATATTGAGAAGAGTAGAGAACTCAGACAATAATTTTGGTTCAAAGATTTTTGGCAGCAGGGAAGGAAAATGTACTGTGTTATTGCTGACTGAACAGTCAGATTCACTTGTAGAGAATAAAGCTTTTCCTTCAACTAAACTCAAACTGGAACTTCTTACATGATATAAAGAATGAGTGACATGGTAAAGAGTATCTCTAAACCATGGTTTTACAAAAGTTTCAGATAGAGAAATAACATTCAACTGGTATTTCTGGGGAAGGATTCTATAAAGAGCATAACATTAATTATAACTAAAATACTGAGCGATAAAATACTTAGCGTTAAAACACAATTTACATCTTAACATTTTATTGTACTTTAAAGATTTTTATTTATTTATTTAATTTTGGCTGCATTGGGTCTTTGTTGCAGCGACTGGGGATGATTCTTCGTTGCGGTGTGTGGGCTTCTCACTGCGGTGGCTTCTCTTGTGGAGCACGGGCTCTAGGCGCACGGGCTTCAGCAGTTGTGGCGTGCAGGCTCTAGAGTGCAGGCTCAGTAGTTGTGGCGCACGGGCTTAGCTGCTCTGCGGCATGTGGGATCTTCCCGGACCAGGGCTCGAACCCCTGTCCCCTGCATTGGCAGGTGGATTCTTAACCACTGAGCTACCAAGGAAGTCCCTATCATACTTTTAATAAGGCACTGCAGTCACTAATTACTAACACTTGCTTTTATATTTTCCCATATCCTACTTATTAATTTTTAATTGTATCATCATAATTTTATTGCATGTATTCTGCAAATTGCCTCAGATATTTAATGAAATGAAACAGTATACATAAATAAAACTTATGCAAAAAAAATTATAACTTTGCTTTTCATAGGCACATAGGGATTTAACTATGTGGTTGCCTTACCCATGCCCTCACTGGGGAGTCTAACAGAATTTTCTTTAGTTGACTCATAAACCTTACAGAAATAAAAAGTTCCATTGACATGATGACTGGGTTCAGTAGAGCATACAACTTTATCTATGCTTCCTATAGATATTATTTTTAGAATGGTGTTGTGATTAACATGGCAAATGTGGACATCAGGTTGAAATATTTTATAGTCAGTGAAACAGATTAATAATAAACAACATAATCGAACATTTAATTTCAAAAAGATCTTACCTTTTGTTGTTGTGTTGTGGGACCTTGTGATTTAGGTGGAAAAGTACAAGGTATTCTTCCATGATGGATATGATATGGTAATAAGAGACTGGGGTCTAACGGGACCCAGGGAACTGAGAGACTGGAAGGCACACCAGGAAGGCTGTAATGTGTTTTATGCAAATTGTACGCTGTCCTAGTAACTTTTCCATCAGAGGTCTTGTAGATCAGGAGTGAAGAATCTTCTGCTGCATGAGACAACAAGTAGGAACCCTCCTGCAAGCTAAATCCACACAAGGAAACTCAACTCACTGGTTCACTGTGTCAAATTCAATAGCACGTTCTTAATCATAATTTATTAATAAAATTGAAAACAATTAGGGGAATGGGATACCACCTCTAAAAACACTTTTATGACCAAATAAGATTTAAGAATCTTTTAAACTATTTTCATGCCTTTTCAGCAACTCATTTTAGTTCTTATTCCAAGTTCAGGATATATAATTATTTTCTTTTCACTGTTACATCAGTTAAATTGTAAAATTTCAAAAATTTAATGGGAAACAGACAGTCTGCCTAATTCTCTAATGCATGGACAACACATATGGAAAAGTACATATACATATGAGTACATAAGTACATATACGTACCATTCCTATACACAACATTTAAATTAATTAAACAAACACACCTACTCTCTGTCTACTAATAGGTGAACAGAGATAGAAAAGTGAATGTGACAAATTCACTACACTGAGAAGTTTAAAATAAAGTGGCAGAAACAGTCAGTGGAACAATCACAATACAAGGGGCCATGAGAATAATAGCAACCAAAGCAGTTAATAGGTACTGAATGTTTATCATGAGCTAACGACGACTGTACTGTTTATATCCATTTCATCATTAAATTCTCCAAAACAAAACTTTAAGGAATAATATTAATTATTAACCTCATATTTGAGATAAACAAAAATCAGACATGCTAAGTAATTTGCCCAAAGTTCTGAGTGCAGGGCCTGGATATAAACCCAGGCAGTCGAACACCAAAAGCCATACCCTTAATTATGATCCTCTATTGTCACAATAATAAGTTCTGTCAAATCTACATTTTCCCTTTCTCTTTAGAAAGCTTTAAGGAATTCAGGGTAACAACATAAAGAGCTAAAAGGATACGATTAATATACTGTGTTGTTTTGGGGATTTTACATTCTAGCTCAAAGGTAAAATGGAAGATATCAGTTCCTTCCCACAATCTATCATTAAAAATAAAGACTACTCATACTTACAAGGATCTTCCTACAAACCTGATAAGTTTTTCATTAATTCATTACTGTTTTTAAACAGAAAAGTAATAGGTATCGACAAAAGTGGTTCAGAGAACTATTCTTATTCTCAGAGCATTTTTTCCCCAATCATTTTCTATTCCCATATAAAGAAATGAATAATAATTGATTTGACAGTGGGAATAAGTTAACATTTCAAACACTGAGCTTTTATCAGTGAAACTTTATATCTTAACCTCCTTCACTAAAAATGAAGAATGCTTTGGTTTACAGAGAGAATTCATGGAGAATGAGACAGTTCAAGAGAAGAATATCTTAAAAGTGCTACATGGGGGCAGCAATGTACATGGATGGCTACAAATATCAGTAGGCACAGTAACGGCCTCCTCCAAAAACATACATCCCAAACCCTAGAGCCTGTGAATATGCTACATTACATGGTAAAGGGGAATTAAGATGGAATTAAAGTGAAATCAAGGTTCCTAATCAGCTGATTCTAAAATGTAAGATTTTCCTAGATTATTTTACTGGGCTCACTGTAACCATGAGTCCTTAAAATGTAGAAGAGGGAGGCAGAAGAGACTCAGAGGGAGATAATGGCTTTGAAAGAGATGAGAGTGATGTGACGTGAGTAGGACTCAACTCGCCTTTCAAAGTCTGAAAAGGGAGGAAAGGAAGAGCGCCACAAGCCAAAGAATGCAGGTAGCCTCTAGAATATAGAAAAGTCAAAGAAACAGACCATACCCAGAGCCTACAGAAAAGAAGGCAGAAAAATGACACCTTGATTTCAGCCTGAGAAGACCTGTTAGCCTCCTGACTCACAGAACTGCAAGATAATACATTCCTGTTGTCAACACTAATTTTGTGGCAATTTGTCACAGCTGCACTTGAAAACTAATACATAAGCTAAGATATTGATATTCAAGTTTCAAAAAGCACTTGGCAAATTTCGTGTTTAAGCATTGTACTTCACATGAAGAATGGAATATATAAAGCAAAAATCTTGCCACAGAATCACAGAATCTCAGAACTGAGGAGTACTTAGAAAATCACCGAACTCAACACCATCATTTTATAAATAAGGAAACTGACATCTATCTAGTTGCATAAAAAGTAGGAGAGTTAGAACTTTGAGGTTTTTGACCTTTTGTTCAAATTCTTGAATTGTTTTTTAGTTTATCTTTTGGTAAGGGCGTAAGACAAGGAGTGCAAAGGTTTGTATAATGAAACGGTTTGATAAATGATCACGTAGAGAATCTATATTCTAAGATTTGCTATGGACCGAGTGACTAGCCTCTATGTTGCTTCCTTACCTTGAAAATGTACACAATATAGCTATGGAAGGCTGACTAATATTCCCCCAGGATGTTTACATCCTCTCTCCAGAACTTGTGAATGTTACCCATCAATGGCTTTGCAAATGCAATTAAGGATGCAACGTGACAATATAAGCAAAAATTTGAGTGATGTACTTTGAAGATGGAGCAAGGGGCTACAAGTTAAGATATATAGGTATTTCTCCAAAGAAGACATACAGATGCCCAACATCACTAAATCATCAGGGAAATTCAAATCAAAACCACAATGAGATACCACCTCACGCCTGTCACAATGGCTATCATCAAAAAGACAAGTGTTGGCAAGGATGTGGAGAAAAAGGAACCGTTGTACAGTGTTGGAGGAACTATAAATTGGTGCAGCCACTTGGGAAACAGTATGGAGGTTCCTCAAAAAATTAAACATAGAACTACTGTATGATCCAGCAATTCCACTCCTGGGTATCTACCACAAGAATACAAAAAAATTAATTCAAAAAGATATATGCACACCAACGTTCACTGAAGTATTATTTACAATAGCCAACATACGGAAGCAAATTAAGTGTTCATTGATAAACGGACAAGGAAGATGTGATATATATACAATGGAATATTACTCAGTCATAAAAAATGAAATCTTGCATTTGCAACAACATGGATGGATCTAGAGGGTATTATGCTACATGAAATAAGTCAGAGAAAGACAAATACCACATGACTTACTTATATGTGGAATCTGAAAAACAGAAGAAACAAACAAAACAAAATGAAGACAGACTTACAGATACAGAAACAAAAGGGTGGTAGCCGGTTGCAGGTGGTGTGTGTAGGGAGAAATAGGCGAACAGGATTTAAGAGGTACAAACCTCCAGTTATAAAACTAATAAGCCACAGGGATGTAACACACAGCATAAAGAATATGATCAATATTATTGTAATAACTTTGTATGGGGACAGATGGTTATTAGACTTATTGTGGTCATTTCACAATGTTTGCAAATATCATATCACTTGCAAGTTTATGTAGTAAACTTGAAACTAACATAATGCTGTACACCAACTATATTTCAATTAAAAAAGAAAAGAAATACAGGTAGCCACTAGAAACTGAAAATCAAGGTGAGGAAACAACTGTCTCCTCAGAGCCACTGCAAGGAGCCAGCCCTGTTGACACAAGTTTAGCCCACTGAAAATGATTTCAGATTTTTGACCTCCAGAACTATAATAGAATAAATTTGTGTTATTTAAAGCCACTAAGTTTGTGGTAATTTGTTATAGTGGCAATAGGAAACCATTACAATAGCCTTACAGAAAAATGTAATTGCAAGCTCATTAAAGCCAGAGACTATTATATTACCTACTTATTTATATTTTCACAATTTCAACTTTGACACAGTAGAATAAATTCTGTATTTCTAGGTTATTTTCTATCTATTCCTAACAACATATATTCAAAGTTTCTATGAATTTTCACCCAAGAAAATTAGACGTATCAATGCAAAATGCCTCCAAAGTACTTACCTACTTAATTTTCTTAGAATGTGTTGAAGGATGTTAAATAAACTTGATATCCTATTAAATAGAAGAAATCTATATAAAATTAAGCGACAAGAAAACTTACTCTTAACAATTTTAGCTCCTCAGGAAGAGAAATATCCTCAATAGCAGAAAAAAACAACAGATGAAATAATGTAAAACACCAAAATTTATTTCTAATTTGATTCACTTATAATATTTTTTGCCATTTTCTGATATCTCTTCAAAATCATAAAGTATTTGGCTTGTGTGAGTAGAGCAGTTGTAAAGAGATCGTTATTTTACACTGAAACTACGAACTTTTTAAGAAGTTTATAAGTTTAACATTTTTTTAAAGATTAGAAGTTTAAAAAGCCTTTAGTAGAACTAATCTGCAGAAGAGTTTGCCTTTTAGAGATGGTGGTGGTAACCAGAGAAATTGAGAGGTACTTTAAATGAATAAAGGGAAATGAAATATATTGATTTAGTATCTCTTCTAGACCTAAATTCATTCCCTTTATTATTTATTTAACAATGGTTTTCATTGGAAGAGGTAGAGCAGGCAGTGAGTAATGTACAGAAAAGCTTTTCTATTCACATATGTAAATAAAAAGTTACTCCTCAAAAGAAGCAATCCTTATAACAGAAGTAGATGTTTTTAAGTATAAGCAGAGAATTCAAGTTTGAATCTGGAGGCTTCAAAAACTTTGACAAGCCCCAAAGCTGCAACTATGGAAGTAATAAAAGTCAGGACAATTTCCCATCCTTCAAGGTGAACCAAACATATTAACTACCATAGTTGTCACCCTAGTTCAGCTGTATGCTCTGGGGAAAGTGACTCCAAGTTCCAGTTTCCTCATATATAAAATGGAGATAAAACTACCACCAGTCCTTCCCAGAAAGTTGTGAGATGCAAATTAAATTCATTTCAATCTGATGTACAGTAATAGTTGGTAAAAGAACAAACTTTTAGAAGTTAGGGTGTCCAAATGAGTGTATACATCCCTGAGAGCTAAGAGTCTTAGGCTTCCATACACTACCAAGATGGAAGACTCCTCTGTTGTTCTAGCCTCCTTTGTCTTAAGGAGAAGTACTAGTGTCACTAGTATATTTAATTTGGAAATGGAAATGATTAATGTGAAATGGATCACAAACTGGGTCAGGGGGAGCCTCAATGTAAAAAAGGACTAAAAGTCTTGAAAATAAATAATTTAAACTTAACCAATATTTACAGATAAAGGAAAATTAGTGATCATATTAAGTTTTTTAATTCCCAACACAAAGTAAAGCTTCTTACTTGAGTGCTGAAAGTCTTTCTTTTAACTCTTCTGAGGTGATTTCTTCTAGCAGGAAAAGCTTTGAAGTAAATGTATCAATATGTCCTAAAAATAAAAGATCAAACTTAAAGAGAACAATTGCAGTATTTAAAAAACAAAAAAGCCAAGTTATCCAGTCTCAATAAACCTTAAAAAAATCTGGCTTATTTTTAAATTAAAGCACACCATAAGATTTCCTATGGTTTAAAAAAAAAAAAAATCAAAAGTCTGCTCAAAGACTTACTTTCTTAGAAACGTGACCTAATTCTAGAATTCCAAAAAACAAAATAGAAAACTCTCAAGATTACACTTCCATTTTAAAAAGTAATGCGTATGTTCTACAACAAAACAGGTTGAGACACAACACTGAAGTCCTGAAATGTTCCAAGGAAGTGATATAAAAGACAGCTCTTAGTTAAATGTTATATAACCATGTCAACACAAAAATCATGTTATTACAGCAGTTAAATATATCAATAGCGTAAGAGTATAATACTCAACAATGCTGAAAATAATACCATTTTGATTTCAATTTTTTTCAGCTTCCAATATTTGGTTATCAAAATACATGACCTGGAAAGCTGACATCAATCACTGTGCAACAAAAAATGCACATAATTTAATATCGCATTTTCTTATCTAGTCCCCTTTCATTTGCTTTGTGCTCATAAAAAGAATTAGAAACATTTTTATCAGATACCTTTCTTCTACGACAACAAATCTGTTTTTCCCACGCCTACTTATCATTTCCTGTGCCAAGTTTCAGTTTCACCTCTGCATTCCTAACACTCATTATACAGTGACGTTTCTAATAAAAAGGACACATTTCAATGGTTTAATAACTGTAGAAAGGGAATATCATGTACAATAAAACATTTTTAGACTTTTACTAAATGTGCCTTTGAGGAAAATCACTAACAGTTCTTACCTTTTTAAAGCAATCTCAATGAAAATTATTTATTATATAGTATATATCAAATACAGTTAGGTCAAGAAATATACAGAGAATACCATACTAAGTGCTATGAGGGCCCACCTCCTCAAGGAGTCTACAATTCTCTCAACATTGGAGCGTTTTAACCTGTGGGCCTTAAAAGTATACATGTGTCTTTGAGATATTTATCTCCTCTTCCTTGGGGCAGCTGAGCAAGGCGTGGGATGGCAAGAGCTTCCTGGACATTACCCCTCAGCCACAGCAATCTCTTTTGTATATCACAGTGTGCTATCCAAATATTTTTTTTTTTTTTTTTTTTTTTACTGTTGTGGCCTCTCCCGTTGCGGAGCAACAGGCTCCGGACGCGCAGGCTCAGCGGCCATGGCTCACGGGCCCAGCCACTCCGCAGCATGTGGGATCTTCCCGGACCGGGGCACGAACCCATGTCCCCTGCATCGGCAGGCGGACTCTCAACCACTGCGCCACCAGGGAAGCCCTATCCAAATATTTTTTATGTATGTCAAGTTTGGGAAGGTTATATAATACAAATCAAGGCTTTATATACATGCACACATTCATACATATTTATGTGCACACATAAATATACATAGGCAGTTCCTACTCTGCATGCAGTATGGGATGAGAAAAATAACCACACATAAGCCAGAACTATGGAAGAAATTTTAAAAATCAATGGGAAAAATTACAACTGTTCCATTACCTTTAAGATTTTTTTTTTGGTCAAAACATTATAAATTCCCCATCAGTTATAAACGTATAGAGAAATGAAAAAACAGTAGAAAGTAATCTTTATTTAGTATACTGTAAATTAAAAACATTGAGATTTAAAGTGTTATTTCATTATAAAAAAACTCATTAAGAGCAGTCTGAATAGTGCTTGTCGCCTTCTCCTGGTACAACTTACGATAGGGAGCAAGCACCTTTTCTATGCTGTGGTGAATGGTCACACTCCTTGGATCAGCTTCCAACATGATAGCCTTTGCGCTTTAAATATCATGATATATCTCAAAGAGTTCTTTTAATGTAAAATATTATGCCAGTGTCACTTCTTCATCCTTTATGCCACAAGCACTTTCCTCATTTATGAGTTCACCTTCGTTAAGTTCCTCTTTTGGCATATCTGGTCTCCTGAACTGCACTAGTGTCAACATTTCTACTGTCAGCTATTTCTTCTGTAACTCCATTTATGCTCAATTCAAATTCCACTTTCAGCAGTATCACCTTCTGTTTCTTTGCTTTGCTTTAATCTTTGTTGGCCAATTCCCTCTTCTGATTATCCACTTTTGTAAAACATCACATGAGTTTATCACTGGGAGACAAGGAGGGAACACAACTACACATTTTGCTTCCTGTGCATCAACTCAGTAACAGGTGCGCACTGAACAATAACTGACAGACTTTGAAAGAAGTGACATGATTGGTCACTGGTCATGATGTGCATTTGTTACTTATGTAGTGATTTGTGGACTGAAGACTCAGCAGTAACATCTGTACTTTACGCAATTACTCACAGTTAAATACCTTCGTAACTGAAATTTGTGTGTATCAGAATTGTGCAAAGGAAGGACTGCCTGTATGTCAACTATACAAAATTGATATATATTAGAGAACTGGAAAGTAGATACAGAACTTGTGAAAAGATGACTTTGGGAATTTTCTTTAAGGAATACATCTTAATGTTTTTATGGGGCAAGAGGATAAAAAGAATACTGCAATCTAAAGGAACAGGAGAACACGTTCATAGCAAAGCAGACAAATAAAAAACAAGTATGTTTATTCTACCTGAAAAAGAGACTATAGGACTCTAGTTCAAAATTGCTGAACTAGAGTCCTATAAACCAATATGCTCTTCATTTAAATAAATGAGATTCTATGTCACTTGTGTCTCGTAAGATATGCTGTATCTGAATCTCTGAACCATGCACGTAAACTCTACCCTTACTGTCCTCTCCAAAAGATCGAATGCACTGGTCTCCAACTTTGATTTCTGAGAAGAGACTGTCTTAAGTTTCTTTGAAATTCTGAGATCACAGGGCTGGGCAGGGAAAACTGACAATGAAATGCTTAAGTTAAATGGAGGCGTGGCTAGCAACGGTTGAGTGAGGGAAACACAGGACACAACTGAGCAAGGACTATGGTGCATGACTGCATGGGAAAGAGAATATGAGCACGTGGAGATCTTCTGGTTAGGATTTTAAGGTCCCAGTTTCTAAGACACAATGAATCATCTGCCTTAAGTCACACTGATTAACATTGTTACACACACAGTGCTTCATTTTTGTTATATCTGACCTCCCCCACCCCCCCCCACCACCAATTTTTCCCTAGCCCTTTTTAGGTTTACAGCAAAGTTATAAACACTTAAAAGACTGTGACTAAATTCTGATCCTGCCGCTGATAGAGTATGTATCTATATGTAAGTTAATCATTCTGAGCTTTATTTTTCTCTTCTATTTAGAGCAGCAGTCAACACACATTAAAAACTATTAACTAATAGAAATTGAAACAGATGAAAATTTTTGAAAAGAATAAAATAATATGCAATAAAATATATAATTAACTATGCTTTGTTGTTCTGAAAAATCTTGGCTTAATTCTGTGTGATAACAACTATTTGAAGGATGGCTGTAAAGTTCAATTCATTTTGCTATACAGGTTTTAACAGCTGCCATTGCTAAAAAAAGATACCCACAATGATACATAGATCCAAATGGAACAAGTGCCTAACTGCTTGGCTTACTAAAGCATGACACATTGTTTTTAAGGAGAGGACCACCTGCCAATCCACATACTTAATATGAGTAATGTTAAATTTTTAATTTTTCATACAAAAAATAAGAGTTATAATATATTCTTCCTGCATCCCAATGGTTTGTCTTACATACATCTAGGGAGAGTAAAAAGAATAAAGTATATACATTCTATGGCTTGTTTTCTACCATTTCCCTTCTCCTTAACTTTTACTGTTCCTTCAATCAATTATCCAAGCCAACTTCACTTATTCTAATAATACTTATTGAGCACCTCTGTGTGCCAGATACTGTTCTAGGTGCTTGGGATATATCAATAAACAAAAGAGACAAAGAGGAGGTTCCTTAGAAAACTACAAATAGAACTACCATACGACCCAGCAATCCCACTAGTGGGCATATACCCTGAGAAAACCATAATTCAAAAAGAGTCATGTACCAAAATGTTCATTGCAGCTCTATTTACAATAGCCAGGACATGGAAGCAACCTAAGTGTCCATCATTGGATGAATGGATAAAGAAGATGTGGCACATATATACAATGGAATATTACTCAGCCATAAAAAGAAACGAAATTGAGCTATTTGTAATGAGGTGGATAGACCTAGAGTCTGTCATACAGAGTGAAGTAAGTCAGAAAGAGAAAGACAAATACCATATGCTAACACATATATATGGAATTTAAGAAAAAAAAATGTCATGAAGAACCTAGGGGTAAGACAAGAATAAAGACACAAACCTACTAGAGAATGGACTTGAAGATATGGGGAGGGGGAAGGGTGAGCTGTGACAAAGCGAGAGAGAGGCATGGACATATATACACTATCAAACGTAAGGGAGATAGCTAGTGGGAAGCAGCCGCATAGCACAGGGAGATCAGCTCGGTGCTTTGTGACTGCCTAGAGGGGTGGGATAGGGAGGGTGGGAGGGAGGGAGAGGCAAGAGGGAAGAGATATGGGGACATATGTATATGTATAACTGATTAACTTTGTTATAAAGCAGAAACTAACACACCATTGTAAAGCAATTATACCCCAATTAAGATGTTAAAAAAAAAAAAAGAGACAAAGACAGGCAATAAATATCATGACTAATTAAATTATATGATTTGTTGGTGGCTACCAGAAAAAGGGACTGAGGATATTTTTGGAGCCAACAAACCAGAGGAAGAAAGAAACCCAGAGATGTGAGCCTGGCACTTAGGGCTGCTTCTCTCTTAGGAGTACCCGTTAATGTGGAAAAAGCAACGGAGAAGCTAAGAAATGAACCAGAGCTTTCAATAGTCTCTCAGGATTAGAGGAACAAAAACTGGAGTTCAGGGTCTGTGAATCAGATAATCACAAGCTCTGAGTTGGGATCC